GAAGTGCAGTACCACAACCATTTATAATTTGAGATAATATGATTCATATGTCGAGACAATAGAAGTGCAGTGCCACAACCGTAAATTTGTTGAAATCTCTATTCTCTCTCTCTCCGGCGACGACACCGCAACTTTCGAATGCGATTCCGGCGCTGTCCGGCCACCAAACTCGATGCTATAACTTGTAAAACGCTCCTCTACACGACCCACTATACTATTTTATTTTAGGGAGACTTTGAAAAAGACCAAACGAGAGATAAATTTTTTAAAAGAAGCCAAAGTAGACAAAATTGCCCTTATTTATTTTTGGATTTCCTAAGGAATCCTTTATATTTGCATGTCTTTGGTTTGAAAGTTGAGAGATTGTTTTGTCTTTTTTGAAAAAGTTTTGGCTTTTTCTAAAAGTGAAAATTTTTGTGTGGTTAAAACCTAAATTTACTTTTATTTTAGCATATATCATTTTCCTTCAATAATATGTAAGAATTATGTGTTCAATGGTTAATTAATAGGGGGTTTCACTAAAACACCCAAAATGGGGACTGAAATTATAAAAAAACCCAACACCCAAAACACTTTATAAACACACCCAAAACCTATCATTACACACACTCAAAATCCATTTATAAACACACCCAAAAAATATACAATTGTTGATTTTGGGGTTGAGTTTGAGTGTGTTTCTATGTTTAAATACTGTTAGGGTTTTTTTATAAATACATGTCTAGGATTGGGTTTATTTATAAATTTGTATAATTAATATATATATATAATTAATCAAAAGGTTAGCATCAGGCCTTAGGGCTCTTGGGCTCTGTGATTTAAATTAAACCCGATTAGTTAATTAATTATTTGAATTATTTTTAAATAATGTTTTGAGTTTGTCCTATAAATCCACAAAGAACATTCATATCATCATTCTTGTATAGCCGCATCGATAAACCCGAAAATTTCCCTAGAAATGAAAGCTCTAGTGCTAGGACTTTGATTTAGAAATTTGTATCCTAGTGGAGCAAACACCATATTTAATTACATTATTCTAGTTGTTGATTAAAATATAATTACCAATTAAAGTTATTAAAAAGGGCTAACATATTACTTAATTACATATATTAAATTAAAGAAGTAGGCCAAAAAACAAAAGTTCAGAAACTAATTATATATTTTTTCATTTTTTTTTTCATTTTCAAACGTACAGCCGCACGGCTATACTAAATATGAAAAGGAACGCGCCCAGGGCCTTGGTGCCACTTGTCAAATCTGTAAAGCCGGGCGGCTATACAATTTTAAAAAAAATTTCAAAAAGAATCTAGTATAGCCGGGCTGCTATACTATATATGTATGTATACAGACCTGCCCAGCGCTTATGTGCCACACGTCAAACGAGTAGCACAGGTTTTTTTTTGTTAAGGTATCGCCGCACGGCCATACTATTTTTAAAAGCAATTAAGGGTAAAACTGAGTATAGACGGGCGGCTATACTATTTTATTTTAGTATATATCATTTTTCTTCAATAATATGTGAGAATTATGTGTTCAATGGTTAATTAATATATATATTTATTTAATTAATTAAAGCCTTTGGGCTCTTGGGCTCTGTGATTTAAATTAAACCCGATTAGTTAATTAATTATTTGAATTATTTTTAAACAATGTTTTGAGTTTGTCCTATAAATTCGCAGAGAACGTTCATATCATCATTCTTCTATAGCCGCATAGATAAGCCCAAAAATTTCGCTAGAAATAAAAGCCCTAGGGCTAGGACTTTGATTTAGAAAGTTGTATCCCAGCTTGAGTTTTTCCTATAAATTCGCAGAGAAGATTCGTATCATCATTCTTGTATAGCCGCATTGATAAGCCCAAAAATTTCGCTAGAAATGAAAGCTCTAGTGCTAGGACTTTGATTTAGAATGTTGTATCCTAGTGGAGCAAACGCCATATTTAATTTCATTATTCTATTTGTTGTTTAAAATATAATTACTAATTAAAGTAATTAAAAAAGGCTAACATATTACTTAATTACATATATTAAATAAAGAAGTAGGCCAAAAAATAAAAGTTAAGAAACTAATTATATATTTTTTAATATTTTTTTTCATTTTAAAACATATACCCTCACGGTGATACTATTTATAAATATAAAAAGGGACATGCCCAGGGCCTTGGTGCCACGTGTCAAATGCGTAAAGACGGACGGCTATACTATTTTTGAAAAAATTAGGAAAATGAGTATAGCCGCAAGGCTATATTATTTTTAATTTTTTTTAAAAAGAATCTAGTATAGCCGGGCGGCGATACCATATATATGTAGGGGTGGTTGCGGTTCGGTAACCGCGAATTTTTACTCAAACCGCAAACCGACCGACTATTTGCGGTTTGGTGATTTTTGAAACCGCAAACCGACCGCGTTTTGCGGTTTACCG